TTGTACTGTTTACTTATGTCAGTGAGTTTGGAGTCGTGTGCAGTGGTTAACCAGATGTAGTGAAGTAGCCCTCTGGTCTTTTTCCTAGCCTGAGTGGGTAGCTCTCAGATTTCTACTGCTACATGTGTTAACTGAAGGTTTGTCACGGATACATCAGGGTGAGAAAATCTTCTATTCTGGCAGAATTCTGATCACATATTGATTTGTATTGCGTGAAATCCTTTTACTACATCATTGAAATGATCCTACTTTATAATGTATGATTAATTAGTGTGCAATGTTACATTAATAATATACTTTTACTTGCTAATTGAGGCTTTCATTTCCAATCATTCTCACTAGGTTATGGATATATTCATGAGACATTCCCAACTTTGTAAGGTCCATAAAATATAAAACTAAGAAACTGTGAGTCAATGTATAGTACTCTAAAAATGTATAGTACTCAATGTGTAGCACTCTAAAAATAATATCTGCATCTGTCATCTGCCCACCCATGTTTCTACGTATCTGTCTAGCTGGATTTAAAATAGTTTAGGAGCTGGGCATAATGGTTCCTGCTTATAATCCTACCGCTGAGGGAGGCTGAAGCAGGAAGATCACAAGTCTGAGTCCACTTGAGACAAGTGAGACCCTGTCTCAATCAATCAATCAATCAATCAATCAATCAACAGGACCAAGGCTGTAGCTCAACCAGTGTTAGAGCACCCCTTGTTCTCCAGTGTCACACACAGAAAGGTTGTGGAATTATAGTTATACACTTTTACTCTCAAATATAGTGTAAAGTGTGTGAAATTTAAAACACAAAGTTCTTCTCCCTGGTCCATCCTTTTGTGATTTTTGGTGTTTTGTTTTGTTTTTTTCTCAGTACGGGGAACCAAACTCAAGACCTTGTGCTTGCCAGGCAGGCTCTGTGCCACTGAGCGAAATCCCCAGCCCCGCTTTTGTGATTTTTTGGACATTATGAACCGGTATATAAACATACCATTACCCGCAGTTCTTTACTATTCATGCTATAAATCATAATCTTATGAGGCTATTTGAAAATGTGTAGTT